TTCGTTTTTGTTTTTTTTTTTTTTTTTTTTTTTTTTCTTTTTTCTTTTTCGTTTCTTTCTTCTCCCTTTTACAAACTTTTACGCGGGCGCGCATCCACGCATACGCGCACGTGAGTATGCATGCATGTACGTAGGAATTTACGTATCTCTTTTACTTAAGCATTGCTAATCCCCAGAGAGACATTTGATCAATCGATCTAAACCAAACAGTTATCTTCTTATATATCGATAGAATCATGCTATGGATTTGTTTGATTATTTCCAAGCTACTTACTCGTGGTATTTCTACAGGATGCTCTTCTTGAATCATATCCAAAGCAGGACTATTGCTAGGCGAATAACTGACAGGCGTTGTAGCCGGTGATCTATGATGTCTTAAGGGACTTAAATCTAATGGCGTGGCCGGTGATTGCGCAGGAGTACCGTGCACTATACTACCTTGTACGGGTGCAGTCGTCAAACCGCTCAAACCTATGAAATATATCATTATATTTCATACAAATATTGATGATAGGTTGCAACGTTAAATATAAAGAGCATACCTTGCGTTATGGCTGCTACGCCTCTTTCGTGAACCGGAGACCCTGGTATACTAGCCGGACTGTGCGAAGGTGACGCTAACCTCTGCAACTGTTGGTACTCTTGTTGAAGCGCTTGTATACCAGGACCCGGAGGACCTGATCCTTCCGAGGCACGACGGACCGGCGAGTATCTCTCCGTTGCGACGTGACTGCTTGGCTCTTTATACGAATCTCTACTTCCTATCAAAATATATGGGGCAAGAATTTATCTAAACGATCTTACAGAGTTACACATAAAAAGATAATAATACCACATGTATGTATGGTCAATGTGAAACAACGACAACAACAAAAGGCAAGTGACTTTTTCCTTATAAACAAGTGCGCGCGCGCGCGCGTGTCATTAAAACATAGAGCCTTAGTTATACAACATGTCCATGTTGACTGCAACTACAGAAAGAAAACATAAAAATCCAAAAATAAAACAAAAGTGCAAAAATTACCAGCACTAGCGTGATACAACGAAGTTTTCCTGTGATGTGGAAGCGTCGGCCCTCTAAGATGACTCGGTAATAATCGTGACGGCAGGTAAGCTCTGTTCATCCTAGCTTCCACCTCCATAACCAGTTCCGGATTTATAACTACATGCATATTACCAACCAACGAGATGTGGCCGTGCAGTTGACACAATAAAAACAAACCATGCAAAATTAAAAAGAAATCAAATGAAATCAAATTGTCATAAATACTAAATTAGGAGAATTAAAAAAAAGAAAAGAAAAGAAAAGAAAAGAAAAGAAAAGAAAAGAAAAGAAAAGGCCCCTTAAAATGAATTGATATATACATATACATATGCATATACATATACATATACATATACATATATATAAAAAAAACGTGATATAGGTAGGGGCGAGGAAAGAAAAAAAGAGAAAGAAAAAACCAGCAACTGGAAGGAAGCTCCAAGTATAAAGAACTTTGTCGTAATTTCTCGTATGTTAAAAGCTTGGACTGTCAACTAATAATTTCCACGCATTATGCACGTGTAACGTACATAGAAGGTATGTGCTTAAATAGCTTACTCGAGATACATAAATAGCTTTTACTGTGGAACAATTGTTCTTACAATTGTATTATATTACAATCGTTGCATAAATCATGTACGCGTCAGGAGGGAAGTTTCTGTCCATATATAATAATTGTTCGATAGGTCGTCGTACATTTGTCAGTATACACATATGCGTATCTGATAAGGATAATTCATTAAAAAGTATCCATAAAGATACATATCATGTATGTGCGTGCGCGTTCGTGCATTTTTTTATACACCGTGCTACTATATAATGCGCTACGCGGCGCAATACACAAATACAAATAATATTAATTATTTCTACCTGGTCTTTGCATGACGGCAGTTAACCCACTTCGTCGTCTTCTATCGCTTGTACCAGTTCCGCTTGCATTACCGCCGGTCCCATTACCATCTCCGTTTCCAGTACCACCGACGGTAACCGTCGACGTTTGTGCACATTGTACCAATGACGGGCTCCCAGGTTGTAACTATGAAAAGATATTAAAAATTTAATAATCCCTAGAAAGGACATAAGCGAGACATAAGCGAGCTGTAGCAAGAAGAAATCTATTTCTTCATTTATTTCTAACGTGGCCGCAACATCTTTTCAAATATAACACTTTCTCTTACAGGCTGCAAGTGTTCACGGCTACCAGGTTGACTCCATCCACCGTTCTCACCGGCGCTGCCGCCGCCGCCGCCACCGCCCCCGCCGCCGGCGCTGCCGCTGCCGCTGCCGCCGCTAGTACCACTACCGTGCTGTTGATAAAAAACATGGAGATTGGCCCCTCCGTCGGAGGCTCTTCGTCCAAAGCTTCCTGCTATATAGGAGTAATGTAAAAATAAAATAATCACACGTTATAAAATATTACTTGTATCAATAATTGATAGATAATAGAAATTCACTTACTGGCGCCCATTACGGGTGGTGGCTTTAATAAATGTTGATCCTTGATTTGAAAATTCTGAGGTGGTTGGTGTTGAACCAGCGGTAGATTCAATGGTAAATTTGTATGCGGCAAAACTTGGGGGTCGTTATTGAATTGTAATATTGGAAGGGGCCGCAACGTATGATATCCCGGAGTATGATTATAAGCGTACGGATATGACGTTGGTGGTTGATGCGTCGTGTCACCGGGTCCTACTGTGTGCCTTCGGGTCGCGTGATATGGCGTATCGGGTGATAATTGAAGACCGCTTCTCTCTTCGCTTTCTGCCTCTGCTTCACCGAACTATTATAGGCAAAAAGTACCAATCGAAAAGATTATGTTTGATTGATTCGTTATCTTTAGCGATTGGTGAAGAAGAAGAAAAAGAAAGAAAAAAAAAAAAAAAAAAAAAAAAAAAAAAAAAAAAAAAAAAAAAAAAAAAAAAAAAAAAAACAATAAGATAACCATCCCAAAGATCGAGAATTTTTATGCTATCGATAAAGGGTAGGTAAAACCTACCTTTTCCAATTGATGTGCCCCATCGGGCATATAATCCCCTGGAATATTTTGTATGGTAGGTAAGGCAGACATCGTCGGTTCCAATCGATCGACTAATAAATTATATATCGCTGAGACATGATCGAACGCATTTCCTTGAATTGCTTTTAACAATGTGTCAGCACTAAGCCCAGGTAATCTAAGCATATTTTCTATAACTAATTGATTCAATTGGAGTGGAACGGCAGTTTCAGGAGTGCACCTGAAATAGAGGTTCAAGAGATATGAGATTTCTTTAAATTTGTAACATTCTCAAATATATCGAGATCCCTGTATACCCTCCGGGTTCCGGTTCCGTTAAACCATCGCCACCCATCCAAGAGTGAGCTAAAATTTGGGAAATGCTCAAACGTCTTTCCGGTTCTACCACCAGCATATGCCTAATTAATTTTTCGCAATCTGCAATAAAGATAAAATTTAATAGCTCGCGTTGCGTTAATTCTATAATCTTTCTAATGATCGATTTAACGCGATTTAACGTGGCTACAAGGTAAATACCTGCTGACATGAAAAAGGGAATTCTGAATTTTCCTGAGATAACGACGGAGCGTAATAATTGCATCGTAGGACCGTCGAATGGTAATGCACCGCACACTAACACATACAGGACAACGCCGAGGCTCTAAACGAAAGCATATATCGTAGGTTATATCTTATTATATTACGCAAAATGTATTAATAATATTGATCATTTCTTTCCCAAACGGTTTTATGGGTAAAACCGTACCCATACGTCGGCACGCGGCCCGTCGTAATGTTTTCCCTCGAAAATTTCTGGGGCCGCGTAAGGGGGTGATCCACACCAAGTGTTCAACGGTACACCCGGAGTATATTCATTGCTGAATCCAAAATCGGCGAGTTTAATATTATTGTCTGCATCAAGTAACAAATTCTCAGCCTGAAATAGGTAAAATTACAGATTACCGACGGAGCACTGCCCAAGCTAACTTTCAACTTGGACAAGATGTGTGTGTGTGTGTGTGTGTGTGTGTGTGTATATATATGTATATATATATATATATATATATATATATATATGAAGGAAGAGACATATACCAACCTTAAGATCTCGATGTACCACTCTTTGTTGGTGTAGATAACGGACAGCAAGAACAATTTGACGAAATATTCTCCTGGCTTCTGGCTCCGGCATTCTTCCATTCCTTACGAGATGATCAAATATTTCACCTCCCGGAGCATATTCCGTTACTAAATATATCATCTTTTCTGTTTCCATCACTTGGTATAATCTGATAATATGCGGATGCCTCAACCTTTTCATTATGTGTACCTCCCGGAATATTTTTGCCAAGTTCTCCTCGTTCAATTTCGTTTTATCTATTATTTTTATAGCCACCTATAACAGACCGTCGAAAGTTAGAAATATTCTGATTCTCTCTCTCTCTCTCTCTCTCTCTCTTTCTATATATATATATATATATATATATATATATATATATATATATATATATATATATATTAACGAGGTATATATATTGAGGAAAGCAGACAATTAAATAAAAAGATATTACTTAAGTCGAGCAGACGCATTGGATCGTACGCATCTTTATCTGGAAGCATGTGTTTTAACTGTACCTTGATGATCTTTAAGACGATTATAATCCTATGCTAAACGTGATGCGTAGGAATAAAATCTAATGCATCAATGAACGCATACAGTTATTAAATACTATAAAAAAAGACAAAAACATTTTTCTACGTTGTGATTATGAAACAATTAGCGAACGGTCGAATAGATGGCGGAAATAATTAATAGGAGATAAATAAATTATTTCATCCGATGGCTATTATACTAAAATATGCGTATTAGATGGACGTTATAAAATACTTGGTACAAAGTAGCTTATATCACATGGATGCTATGAAATACATCGAATAAATATAACTGTCGAGTTGAAAAGACTATTATCAAGATATCCGGATAGAATTTTTTACAACTTTTGTCAATCTTGGTACATCAAGATATTTATTATCTCCTATCGTCAATTTATATCGTAATTACGGATAGATATAGTGTGATTGATATATTTTTGTTTTCTTTTTTCTCTTTCTTCGTGAAAAAGTGTTAAAACGATATATATGTATGTATGTGTACATATATATATATATATATATATATATATATATATATGTGCACGTTATTACTTGTTATGAGTTTGAAAAATTTACAGGAAAAACATATCTCTGTCGATGTGGTAGGGATGGTTAGTGGTAACACTCGAAAAAGAACTCTTTGGTATGACCAAAGTGAATCGTTTCGAGCAAGGCGATAGCGTATTTTCGAGCACGACACCGTTAATATTATCGTAAACTCGACGATAATTCATGCGTACAGTGTGTTATTCAAGCATATAACGACAAAACGATAGTTTCCGTGCACCTAAGGAGTTCTTAATTGACGTTTTTACCTTGGATTTTGTTACAACGTGGGTTGCCATTTTGACAACGGCAAAATTACCCTTGCCGATTGTTTTCTCCAATTCGTAATAACCAACGCGAATAAGTTTGTTGACAGAAAATTGTTGCGAAACCTCATTGTGCGACGTCGTCGCGGATGCCATTTTTTAATCACTTGTCTCGCTTAACTCGTTGCCAATCACTTACTGATTAGTACGGCTATATTCCTGATGGGGGCACCTGCGATCGACGATTGCGTTGCCATCTGACGAGATCGTATAAGAACTTGAAATAAACCAAAGAAATAAGCCGCTCTTACAATTGACTTTTGTAACAAGTCACCTTTACAACGATCATATTTTCACTTATTTTATATCTCATTGGCATATAATTTCAACTAGGGACAAAGTTGACGAAGAAATTTGCAATCGTCAACGAATTATTTTTATCATTAATATTGTTATGTATCGGCCGTTAAACCGCGCATACAACAGATACAGTTTTATGGAAACGTCTCTCGTAACATGAAATTTGTTACACGAGGTCGCTGACAGCTTTCGGAGACGGCTACAGGATGGTAGCCATATTGGTTCATAGGAAACAGACCGTAAGTCATAAAGGAGAATTATAGAGTTTGTAACCGATAACAAATAGGTGCAGCTTGTTTATAAAGTTAGAGAAAATTAACGAGAGGGGTGGGGGATTTATCTCGGAACTCAGGATCTCGACTGGCGTTCCTAGAGGATTATTATTGTACGTGCGACTACGATCAAGATGGCCGGTGAGAAGCTCGTCCCTTGTCCAGAATTTCAATTCTCGGTAAATTAAATACACCTTCGACTCATCGTGCTTTTTAACGGAAAATCTTTTATAACATTTATTACTTTTTAGACGCAATTGCATTATCTTTTGATTAGAAGAGACCGCAAAATTAAGTCACGTAGAGGATATAAATATTAGTTTGCAAATAAACCTTTCCAATGTTATAACCATCCCTGATAAACGATTTGGCTTTTAGACAACAGCTTGTTATATCTGCAATGGGTACTATGGCCCATGCTTCGAAGAGCCTGTTTGCGCGACCTGTCACGCATTTTTGTTTCCCAATGATATTGGATTATTTCAAGTTCCGATATTTAGCGAGGTAAATAAATAAATAAACATATGTATATATATATATACATATACATATACATTTATATATATATATATATATATATATATATTTCATGAATCATTCGACCTGACTCTTATTTAAAGAAATTTGCGATCGTTGGCGAGTGGGTGGGGGGGGGAGGGCGGAGAAAAGAATTGGATCTTGATTGGAAATCTATTATAGAAAACTGACGACGAAGATTCTGGAAACGACGAACCGACAGATCTTTATTACAATCACGAACGAAGAACGAGCCAGCAACAACAAAATTCTCCGCAAAATGTGAATTTCAATGTGTTCAATAATCAGAATCCACCTGTCAATACATGCGCGAGCGTTGAATCATTTAGAATCAATTATGAAAGAAATTTGGAAAGGTTGCAAGAATATCAGCGCCGTCAGGATAACTGTTTGCAGTACGAACATGAAGTTGGAGAACCTTCTAGGCCTTATAATTTGTCATATAGATTGGATATGTTGACAAATCATAAGCATATAGAACACGAGCCTATCAACGTGCCCGGTCTTGTAGAGAGCCTACCACCTGAGGTTCTTTTGGCCGTTTTCTCTCATCTAGACGACGTAAGCCTTTGGTCGGCCGCAAATGTTTGTCGCAGATGGTGCGGCCTATTATCGACCCACGTAACGGCTCAACAGTGGCAGCAACACGTGAAGATGCGTTGGCCGTTATATAGACCCATTGGGTTGGTTAAAAATTGGTACAAAGTGTACGATCAGCTTGCTTCTTCTGCCCCCTGTAGAACGTGTTTAGCTCAAACGTCGTTACGAACGAGAGCTCCGAGAATGGAGGAATATTATTGGAGGCGAAATAGACTACTAAGCGAACTGAAAAGTTTAAGAATGGATCCTCCGGAGGGTATAGAAGCTACGCCTTTGGATCAAATGTGCTGTCATTGGCAGGCTACGATTACCGGACCCGTGGGTAGTCCTTACGAGGGTGGATTGTTTTATTTATACTTACAAGTACCATACAGGTGCATAGAAAAAGAGATTATGATATCAAATTTCTTCTTTTTCCAATGATGCGAAATCTACGTTAATAATTATTATTTTAGTTATCCAATGTGTCCACCTGTCGTAAGATTTCTCACAAAAATCTTACATCCGAATGTTTCAAGGCACGGAGACGTTGGTATAGACTCTATACATCACAATTGGTCTTTGGCTCTTACCATATCGAAGGTCCTCATTAGCGTGCAAAGTTTACTCACTGATCCATACTGTCAGGTAAATCTTACACGTTCTTTCATTTTCTCCTTTTCTCCCTTCTTTTTCTATCAATAACAATTGTCTTTATTGAAATGCCTTGTGCCTGATATAGGTATGTATGGAGCCAGAATTAGGGGAAATGTATATGAACGACCGTGAAAGATTCGAAGAAGTAGCTAGGACGTGGACGTGGCGGTACGCGATGCACGACGTTATAACGCCACCTTAATGTATCAAAAAATAAGATATTATCAACGTTATCATTCGTAAAAGGTACGTAACGAAGTGCATTTGTAAAACGATCTGTGTTTTCGATTAATTATATATTACCGCCGAGTGATGTACATGAATTAAAAAAAAAAAAAAAAAAACAGAAGAAAAACGATACGACTATGTGTTGATGATTATACGAAGTTTATATTTGGATCGAAGTAATGTAATAACAAAAGACGACAAACATTTTTCCAAACATTCAAGATTTATCCTTCAATCTTTTATTTCGTTCACTATTGGATCTTCCGATCGATGGCGTTTTGTAACCATACACGTAGTTTCTATGTATTTACGCGTATTGTCATTCTAATATATTTTCACATATATTTTCACAATTTCGACAAATTATCCGACTAATAAGTATTAAAAATGAGTAGCATATTAACTTTCTCAGTTTCTCAAATAACCTAAAAATTTATACTCGAGAAAATATTCTTCTCTAGACTGAATGGATTATCGATCGAGACGTCGACGAAACGTGGTACTCTCAAGAGGACTTCCTCCCATTTTACTCCGGTCAACCTGAAAAGAACAATTTCGATGGCATCTTTACGACTGACTAAAACCACGGAAAGAAAGTCGCGCAGCTGTTAGGTGGATCCTTCGTCGAAACAAAAGTTAAAATTGAAAACTGGAAGGATCGAAGCTACCTCTTACTCCTCCCTCTCCGATGTCTTTTCATTTTCCTAGTCATAAACCAACAACTGATGTTCCTGAGGTCGGTGGTGCGTTTCACGAGGAGATTCGACTGCAACGGCATAATTAGTAGAGGATTCTTAGGGAATCTCTCTCTCTCTCTCTCTTTTGCTCTTTCACTAGCTAAACTCGAGCATCTTCCTCTTTCGGTAAAACGGACGATAGTCTCGAGAAGATCGAGCTGAGAGAGCTCTAGCCCGAGTCAAGGTGGGTGGTCCGCGCATGGAGCCTGCGGGCTCTCTCTCTCTCTCTCTCTCTCTCTCTCTCTCTCTCTCTCTCTCTCTCTCTCTCTCTCTCTCTCTCTCTCTCTCTCTCTCTCTCTCTCTCTCTCTCTCTTTCTCTCCTTACCTCGAATACCTTCTTCTCCGTCGTACACACGGGGGTCCTCCTGCCGTTCTTGGCTACGTGTGTGGCCAACACCAGCATCCTTCTCTTTCTTGCTCCCTTTTCTTCTGCCTACCACCTATCTTCTTTCCTTCCTTTTCCGCCCTCTCCCTCATACACGCGCACGCTACCTCGATCCTCTTCGGTGTGTGTGCATGCGTGCGTGCGTGTGTGTGTGTGTGGCGTGCGCGGGAAAGAGTCTACCTCTACCAAACGCACCAAGAGCAGCAATACCTTTCCTGTTTACGAAAGTCCATCGTCGCGTTGGAAGAGGCCAACGAAAAACGAACGAACGCCATGAATTCTACGATACGACGATACGGTTTTATCTTGTAAGCTCTCAAGAAGACTTGGAGACTTTCGAATCTATTCGTTTGTCTCACTCGCGACGCGACCCGTGAAAGAGGGCGGCCAAGTCACGATACTCTTTCTCTCTCACTCTCCCGGATTCGTTCTCGCGAATTTCCAAGTACCGTGTTGCTAGAAAAGAGACATTGTCATCGCAGATAATAACAGCGAATTTGCGGTAGAGAAAGAGAGGAGATAATGGAAATGTCGATTGGAAGGTAGCTCTAGGGCAAAAGAAAGGTATGTTGAAATCTTAGAAATTCCTGGACCATATTACTTCCACGCTAATTACTTCCACGTCTCGTAAATATCGTTTACTCTCGATAATTATAGCGCCGGCGGGCGAGGTTCGTGCAAAATATCCCCCTCGTAAATATCGGTCTTATTCTTAATTATAATCGCGAGTGCGCTCGTTAACGAGCCGAGCTTTAGCAACGATATTATACTTTATAGTCCGTTTGTACGAGCAATTCGAAAACTTCTTTAATCGCGGAGAGTAGCCGCTGCTGCGCTACCAAGAGGATCGTTTCGCGTTTGGGAAATACACCGAAGTACCGTGATGATGTGTTCAGGTAGAGCTTACACCGGCTATACGATATCCAAGTCTGTTAAAAGAAACCGACGTGTGTGGCCAAGTGGTCGAGAGCACCACGCTGGATCCGTATAGTTGGTTCACAATAACAGCTGATGCTCAATAGAATGCCCCATAGCCCTTCGCCTCCGACTCTCTCTCTCTCTCTCTCTCTCACACACACACTCTCTCATTCACTCACTCACTCACTCACTCACTCACTCACTCACTCACTCACTCTCCGCTACCTTTTCCTCCTTCCTCGACATTAAGCACTGCTCTTCACACTCTCGCGTCTCTTATTTTCTTATACATCTACCTACTCATCCAAGGTGAGTGCTCTCTATTCGTATCCTACTTTCTTTCTACGTCGACCTATCAAGTTTTTTGATAATATTGCCCCCCCCCCTCTCTCTCTCTCTCTTTCTCTCTCTCTCTCTCTCTCCTCGAAATCTTAAAGGAGAGGAGAGAGAATTGTTTTGAAAATTTATATCCAAAGAATTGTTAGACGAGCATTGTTACGATTCTTCGTGATCATCTCAGTTTACAAAATGAGCTACGCGATCGTTAGATAATAATCGTCTTGCTCGTGCACCTGTCCGATATCGAGTGGCCCCTTGTGATCTTTTATTTTGTCCCTTCGCTAACTGAACTGCCTGCCTGCCTGGCTGGCCTTCTTCCTTACGAGCAACACATCGACACACGGTGGTAAGAAATATATTTATTATTTAAATTAAATACTCTCGATTGTCCATTGGTAGAAAAAAAATAATGCGATAGTCGTAAAATAATTAAAAGTAACTACAATAGATAAAAATAATTTACAGTTGTTGTACCTTCGTTACATTCTCGTCGCCCGTTACAAGTCTTTTTGATAACGCGATTCGATATATCGTTAGTTTTCATTTTTCAAGAGAGTCTTAGACAATGTATTCGATAGCATCGAAAAAGTTCCTTTTTCTTATTTTCATTAATAACCAATATCGACATATCCAATGTTACCTTTAACGCGACTCTTTTTACGCAATCACCCTAGATAATCCGAAAGTTCTCATTAACCTCTTTATCGTTCGCATTATGAAAGAAAGGAAGAAATTAGTATTTCCGCCGTTACGAATAGATACGATTACTTCGAAACGCATATATAGCTTGGTAACTCGCGCTTAATTTCGCATAATAAACGTACAATACGTCGTATGATTCCTTCGATTCGGACGAATGTACGCTCGTCGTCTTATGTTATCAATTGACAGGTCTTCAAAACATAGTGAAGAAAACGGTGGGATACATCGTCGATGAGAAAGTTTGGAGAGTTGGAATAATGAAAAGAAAAAAAAAAAATCAAATGAAAAAGTCGCACCCTTCAAAGGGGAAGAATAACCTTTTGCGATTGTGATCAATGTTCGGTCGTGCTTTGTCATAAATTAAGAATAATAATAATAATAATAATAATAATAATACTTATAACGCAACAATATTAAAAACAAATAACCCTATCTGTTACTATATAATACATAATCAATGTACAACGCAAAACGGTCTCCTTGCTCCTCGGTCAATTTTCTTTGCAGAATTTTTTGGAACACGCGGTTAGTTTCTATCGGAAATCTTTGCGTCTTTAACGCAAAGCGCAGTCTTCGATTAGGATACTCGGGGACAAAAGCGGCAGCTTTATCTCTGGCGGTCGTCCTCTTCATGGACCGCGTTCATAGTCCGGCGCTTATTCTCGTAAACATTCCTAGAAAAATGCTCTTTGGTCGTTCACTCGCGGAATACTGTACTGTACTTTATTTGGACATCTCGTCTTGCCACTCGGTGGTACTCGGCATCAGTCTGAAAAATACAATACGCTAGACCGTCTCTTGTTTTTTTTTCTTTCTTCCCCCTCCCCTTTCCCGCTCTCCCTCCGTTAACATCTCGACGTCTCAAAGTTTTCTTGGCGTTCGATGATGCGCTATCACAGTAGTTCCACACTCGTTCCTCGTACGTCTTTCATGTGAATTCTCTTGAAACCAGCCATGAACCAAAATGAACCAATTGCGCGTAATATGCAACTACCTATGCGCGTGATTAAAAGTTATTTAGAAGATAAGTGTGGATTACCTTGGCTCGCAAAAAGAATGAGCAAAGTGATGGACATCGCCAACGTCGTCCTGTCGACGAAAGGACGAACGGTCGTGGCCTCGTTCGGCACCTCGTTCCCAAGAACGTTCGTCTCCGTTCGAACGATCTCGTTCGTCCTAGTCCCGTCGACGACTTTTTTTACTTGGCGATAATCGTGATGAATCCTACCGAAGCAGAGCGTATTCATATTACGATGGATCCCCTTGCAATCGTATTCCTCGGAACCGTCGCAAAGACAGGTACTGAGCTTCGCCGCCTTTTCTTGTCGCGTCAATATGTTGATCGAATTTCTACATCTAGAGACGAATGAACGAATCTATTTTATATATTATATTTGTCATCGACAATTTGTGCGAGAGCCCATTCGAATATTACTTTTAAATGGGCCCCACCGATATCTACTATCGCTTTTTCCCTTATTGTCTCGATTGGATCGAATCGAAGATACGTACCGGTGAGTGCACTTCTTCCCGTGGAACATGCTCTTGCAGAATTTGTTGTAATACGACAAAGCCGTTTGACATAGGGCATCCGCGTTACATATCCACGTGGCTATCCTGCAGGATACCCTCGTCCTGTTCATAGCCGTCGTCACCGACGATCTACAAATCTCGACCCTCTGCTTCGATTGTTGACAGAGCTCGTCGTCTCGCGTGCATTGACACTGAAAACATTTTCCATCGACATTATCGAAGTTATATTACAGGTATCTTTAGATATTAGACGCATGGAGATATTTCTCCACGTTCTCACCGTCATGAGCTCCTTTCCCTCGTCGGTACTGGTCAAAGCGATGAGCGCGTGCTGACAAGCGTCGGAGCAATTGTCACCTTGCAAAACGGAGGCGCAACCGGTAACGTAGTGTTGAAGAGCCATTCCACATCCGGTTCTATAAGCGCACCTAAGTCTCGCGTCCTCGCAACGCACGGAAGTGGATCTTGTGCCGGCTAGCATCGTCGTTAACAGCATCGAGACCAGGACGACGTCCAACCGATGCACCCCACGAGACATCCTGAGGAATAAGAAACGAGATAATCCAACGCATATCATACCTGATTATTTTTATACTCGCTTTGAGCGTCGATCTAAACGTCGAATCGGCCTTTTTTTTCTAAAGTAAAAAATAAAGTAAGAAATAACAAAGTTTAACGACTAACGGCGCTCGTCCTCAAACATTACGGGATATCATTTCTAAGATCCTCTTTCATCCTCGCTCCCAGATCTCACCGACTATGAATCCGTTCGATGGTCGCGTTCGACGATCCAATTTTTATATATGTTTAGATTACGTTTCACTTACTGTCTCTAAGTAATCCGATCAAGTGTCTCTTTGGACTTTGATATTCCCGAGTATATTTTCAGCTCGTTGTTTCAAGTAAGGAATACAAAAGACGCTTAAGTAGGTTCTTCCGTTGCGAGCGAGAGAACGCGCGTCCCTCGACGTGCAGGGAGCCAATTATCGTTCGAGTTCAACCGCTCGTACCTTGACCGTTGAGTTTTCTCGCCTCAAGTATTACAAATCCTACAGAATTTCTTTCGATCGTTTTCCCTCTCTTCTTCCCCTCTCTCTACTTTTCTTCTTCATTCCGTTAGATAATTTACTATCTAGAACGTCGTATCTCGCTGGCCTTGCGACAATAAGGAAAACGAATACGCTTTTACGTAGGTGTCGATGGTTGTTGTATCCGACGAGCCTGAGAAAATACAATTCCTCCAGTACCTAGATACGAGTGGGTGGGAACTTACGAGCGGTTCGCATTATCGAGTGAAAGCTAAATATATGTACGTTTATCTTTCTCTCTGCCTCCTTTACCGGTCTCCATCGCGACTATGAGCGATCGTAGCGACTTACATAATTCTCGATAAACCCCTTATGGCTTATCTACTTTACTTTACGATATCGAACTTACTTTATTGGACGCTGACTTCTTTTTGGACGAGCGAACGAACGATCCTTTTGCAACTCGAGCTACAGGCTCGATTATATCTTGATGTCTCTCAAAGTGTTTGAAAGCCTTTCGGTTAAATATGAGCGAAATGTTTCTATCGTTTCGAACAAGCTCAGCGTGTTTACGCGTTTAGGAAAAAAAGAAAAAAGAAAAAAAAAAATATATATATATATATATATATATATATATATATATATATCATCGAGCGTTTATTCGACGACGAGGTAACTAGAGCGAGAAACACATACCAAAAAATGACGACTATCGGACGTCGGATTACCATGCGACGCGGAAGAAGGCTTTTTAATCGTCGGAAGGTGTCGGAAGAAGAAGAACCTTTTTATAAGCGAAACGCAATTTGCGCTTCGTCGCGTCGGGAACGCACGAGAAAGAAGACGTGACAAAAAGTCCTAACGAGATCTTCCTTCGTTCGAGTGACATAGGCGGGCGAAGAAAGCCTGGTTTATTTTAAGAATGTCGCGGAATGCAAATTTACGCGGCGAGATCTTCTCTCGCGTCAAAGAAAACTACGAGCTACACGAGTTTTTAAATTTCCAAACTATTTACGACTACAAGTCTCGAGAATACTATGTCGCAACTTTTACGATATTCGCTTTACTTTCTAAAGCTAAAGGAACGAAAGAGGGGAAATACAATTTTCGGATTTCTTTTTTTCTTTGTTTTTTCCAATTAGCTTGCGTCTCTTCGTTCCAACTCGAACACACGATTATTGATATCCATATCGTTAGTACCGAGTAACTGAGCGAGCGGTCAAAGCCATCGGTGCATTGCGCTGCAACGTACAAAACTAATATAGAGATAATATACAATATAAATAATACATAGGGGTATACGGTGGTAGAGCTCGCAAAGCACGCGCTAGCCGGCAGCCGTTCGGTAATGCGCGCTCGTCCAATTCATTGCCATTACATGATATCTATTACGATATACGTCCAATGCTTTAAACGTATTTTATTTAATCATTCTCGTAAGGATCGCGTAAAGATTTCTTTCGGACCACTGATCGATCGGTCGATCGATCGATCAGTGGTCTGCCACAGCTGTCGTAGCATCTGTTCGATCAATCTCATTTAGAAACGGAATCAGTTTTTCGCAATAATTAAAACTCGCTTTCGCAACCCAGTCTCTTGACGAGCTACGATACAAGGAAGCGCTCGAAATGCGACTTTTTAAAGGGGAAAAATTAGAAACACGTGTAGCTACGAGCAAAGTAATAACTATAATTAATCGTGTAACGTTCCGAACGTATTCAAGAAAATGGACAGCGAGCTCTTTGTCCGAATCCGTTCGAAGAAACTGATTTCTCTCTTCCTCCTTCACTTTTTCTTTCTTTTTTTCTTTTCGTCTCATTCTCTCTTCGTGCTCCAGGCATCGCGATACCAACTTGGAGAACGAGCGAAGCGTCTAACGGTCTGAGAACCTTCTTGCCAACCTCCGGTTACCGATCCGGATATCGTTTCGTAGAAACGAAAAATAACGAAACGCCGAAAATCCTCGCTTATCGATCGATCGATCGATCGATTTGTTTTTCTACATACGCATGTACTTCAACGTTTATCGTTCTTACTCGATTAGATGGAAAAAATTCATGCGGCAACTAAAAATATACCATACTTGGACTCTTCCTTGAAGCTTCCAAGGAGCACGCGAGAAGCTCGGAACACGTGACATACATAACGGATTTCGACTCTGGCTGGCGGCCAGAATTAGAAAAAGAGCGAGCACGTTCTCGAAATCTTTCGAGGGCCAGGCGAAGAAGGCTAGAAGCGAACGGAAAAAAGAAGGAAGACAAGGAGAGAGGGAGAGAGAGGGGGGGCGGGAGGAAATAAAAACAGGATCTCTCTCTCTCTCTCTCTCTCTCTCTGTTTGCGTTTCGATCGGATGCATCGACGCTACTCGTAGAAGCCGAGTAAATAATTTCATCAGGTTTCGTTTATGCGACGAGTTAATATTTACGGAACGATCACTTCGAGATCTCGCACTAAAATATACAAGCTTGAGTGTAAACGATCGTAAGAGAGCAACGCGTTACGCAACGACTCGAAAAGACTCGCTTTGCGAATGAGAAGCCCGTTCTCTTGTTTGTTTACGTCTCCGTACAATCACCCCGTACGTATTCGATCGATCGCGACGACATCGTAGAATGATACATCTTAATAACGATTTCCTCGATCGAACGTAAATCCTAACGTAGAGCTTGCTTTTACTTAGGGCTATCTTCCAGAGGATAATAAATCTTAAATCCTTTCTGGAAAAAGAAGAATCCTTGAAATAAAGTTCGAAGGGCGATCCTCCAAATACGTACATCCTGGAAATTCTTTTCGAACGAACGTCGATCTAGGAAAGGGTCTGGGTCATGTCGTAACGCGTATGCCAGTTTCAAACTATGCACTATCGGGCAGTAATTTAGGTGCAACGGGCCCACCGAACGTGACGCGGGCCTCCGAGCGTACAGGCCCAAAATGGACCACCAAGACGCGTTTTAACGGACGTGGCAACGAGGGACAGATGGCCAGGCCCCAATAGCCCCTCAGTGATTACCAACTTGGAATACTTCCTTCCTTCATATATAGATATGGCTCGTAACATTCGTTAACTCAGTGATCGCCAACTCGAAATTCATAGTCCGAAGAGAACATCGTGATCGAGCGTTGCTTCCGGGTTTCGAGGAGTCGTGACAGAAAGTCGCGATCCGCCAGGCCCTCTAATCCGCCCCTTCTAACGGTTCACGAAGCGATCCTTTTACCTTTACTTTTTATGTTCCAAAGAGAGATCGAGGGAGATGTGCCTCCTGGATAAAGTCCTTATGTTGGATAATGATTGGCCGCGTGTCTCGTACGTGGAACGTATTTGTTGCCCTTCTTATACCAGGTGCCAAGCACGAGCTGGACACGCTCGAGTAACTTACAATTTTAAAGATGTTGCTCGCTACGTATCTTACTCTTTCTCTTCGTGGATATTTGAAAAGGCAAAAAGCATCGATAAAATGAGAACGTGAGAGAGGAGAAAAACGTCAAATAGATTCTTCAACGTCTCACCGCGTTCCCCCTTTCCTTTTCTAATAATCTCGATGCTCCTGAGAGTACAATAGGGCCGAACCCTTCTCAGTCGTTATACGGTAGGTCGTACGTCCACGTCGAGCTCCTCTGTCCTATTCCCTTAAACTTCTCAACTACGAACCTACATCCTGTTCTATCGCGATAATTCTTCCCCTCCTGAAGTTAGAAGTATTAACGGACAGAAAAGTTGAAGGTGGAGAGGCTCGCCTGGTACAGTCCAGGCGAGCCTTCCTAGATTCATCCCAAGGAAAAAGCTGCTACGTCGAGCTTCTATGTCTTCATAAATTACTCTTCTACTACCCGGACCCTTAGAAACTCGTTTCTCGCCCGTGATCCTTACAGTTTTCTATTCGTTTTTTCTCTCCGACGAACAGAGGATATTCGAGGAATATCTATTTTTCTTTTTCCCTGTCTCTGCTTTCTCAATTGATTTAATTTTCTCTCTCTCTCTCTCTCTCTCTCTCTCTCTCTCTCTCTCTCTCTCTCTCTCTCTCTCGGTCGAAGGACCATTAATCGCTTTAATATCATCCTACGCGATGGTAGAGAAAGAAACGTCGTGATTTCCGACTGAGCATCGGTTTTCGCTTCCATTGCCTCTAGACTTGGCTCGATCCTCACGATTGAGCGAGTCGTCATTAACGCGTGCCGCTCTTTCTTTCCCTCTCTTTCGAAAGATCGTTACCCGTAAAAAAAGGAAAACGGCAAGAAATATTTTAATTGTGAAAAAAATTCTCACAATCTAGATCGTTAACATAATCATCCTAGGATCCGAAGGTTGGTTTTTCGATGATTCGCGCGAATACGACGAATGTGTCATTGTTGCTTGATCGTTAAGAAAGAGGCCCGAGTCACGATCGAGTCAATGCCACGCGAGTTCGTTAGCACAGGGACACATAAATCTATGGCACGAAGTGTCTTGGGCGCTAATGAGCGGACGACACTGCCAATTTCATCTTCCTATTACCTTCTTCGAACCGCCTGAAAGAAAGGAGGGAGGATAGCCTTTTATCGTCTACGTCCTATACGCGGTCGCGTGTCTCTCCGTGTCCAAGCGTTTCAACGTAGGATGTAACACACTACTACGTAGGATGTAACACACTACTACGTAGGATAGACGTACTACTCTCGGGGGCAGGTGATTTTCAACATTGTCGATGCTCAGAGCGCAAGAAGGGAGAGAAAAGTCATCGTCCTTTCCTTTCCTTTCCTTTCCTTTCCTTTCTTTATCGTTCGTTTCTCGTTCTAAGACTCGCGCATAAAAATTCTACCGACATTTTAACTGTTCGACTGCCGAGATCTATATCTCGAGATCTTAATTATGTTGAAAGGTGTTTTTTACTTATATTATTTTTATTTCGGTGGAAAAACTCGTTTGCATTAAACGACGTGAACGATGATGCGATAAATATGATTTGAAAGTACTCGGAACGTACGCCTACCGAGATCCGGTTTTGCGAAATTCTCTTTATCATTGCCCATAACTCCTATGCCTTTATTTGCAATTTATTATCCGCTGGTACCTAATTATCGGCGAGTACTATGTCGCAATACAAAATTATATTTATTTTTTCTACAAACAGTCGAAGTATCCGTTATCGCGTACTCGCCTTGATGATCGCTCAATCGCGAAGGCAGACCGAACGGTATCCGTTCGTCCGTCGCTCGTTCACTGCGATCTATACGTACTTGGGATTTGATTGGGGCTGGTACAGAATAAAAAAAAAGAAAGAAAAAGATACACGTCTCGACGATAGTTTCAAGTTTACTATCGCAACAAAATCAATAATCCCCTATTCTTCCTTTCGTTATTCTCATAGAATATCGATAATCGAATATCTCTCGCTCGCTCGCTCTCGTAAACGATAAACGCGCGCCGAAATTTGAAACGAGCGTGAGAAACAGGAGAAAGCGCGTACGCAACGTAGTTTTTTTTTTCTTTTTCTTTTTTTTTAACGCGAAAAGGAGAAAACGATTGAAAGGCGATTGAAATGCTATCTTGAATTCCTATCGAAGACAAAGTTATCAAAATTCACATACCTTTGTATATTCTTTCGACGAAAACTACACGATTATCACATCGTGCTCCTCTCGATACACTTTCACACTGATTCCCTAAAATTCCGTTCCCTCTCGTTTTTCGCGTCCGATTGTTATAATTCTATAAAATGTCTTGTCCCTCCGTTTCTCTTTTTTTCTCCATCCTTCGACTTTCTTTCTTCTCTTCCTCTTTGTCTTATTTATCTTCCTCGTCTTCGTTTTTCTCTTGTAGTTCAATTTAAACGCATAACGGAAAGATCGACGCGAAGAAGAAGTTTGAATGCGAAAACATGCGAAAGATAAACGAAAGAACGGAGAGTGAGAGAGAGAGAGAGAGAGAGAGAGAGAGAGAGAGAGAGAGAGAGCGAAAATGTATAATGTAGCTCTATGTGCGCGTGCACGCGCGCGTCTGTGTGCAGGGAAAAGAGAGAAGAGAAAAGATCAAAGAAAACAATGACGGATAAACGGAAGTAAAGAGGGAGATAGAAGGAGAAAGAAAGAGGTAACGAGACGTTCGCGCACGGCCGCAGCCTCTGAGTTACTAGATTGAGTTGTGACGGCTCCGAAGCCGAAGGCCTCGTACTCCGCCCTCCGCCCCACTCTGTCCTCCACCCACAGGGGTCCAGGGCACCCCAACCTGCGTTTCTTGGCTGA